TACTTGTTCTAGGAATTCACTTATGTACCAGGATTTGACTACGCACCATGATTGGCCTGTTCAAAAAAGCTATTGTCGAATTGCCAATCAGATTAAAAGGAAATACGAGACGCCCTTCAGGTAATAATAATAATAATAATATTTAATACTTATATTGCGCTTTTTCTATAAAAATACTCAAAAGCGCATTACAATATTATTAATAACTAAATTAAAACCAGTAAAATTACCCGGTAAAATTACAATATTACAATATTAACATTACAATATTAAAAAAATAAAAATAATAAAAATAAAAAATAAATAAATAAATAATCTAACTAAAAGCCTTTTTAAATAAATATGTTTTAACAGAGCGTTTAAAAGAGTCGATTGATGTTTCCTGTCTAATTGGCAGAGGAAGACTGTTCCATAAAAAGGGGGCAGCCATCGATAACGCGCGATCTCCCAAAGTCTTCTTCGTTCTTAGCCGAGGTCTTTCTAACAATATACCATTATTGTTACGGCGTAGTTGGTAACGTGAGACCGGTAAGACAGAGACAAGATCCTTAAGATAGCTAGGCGCAACACCGTGAAGAATCTTAAATGTAACAAGGAGAATCTTAAAATCTACGCGCAAGCGCACTGGTAGCCAGTGGAGTTCTCTTAGCAAAGGAGTAACGTGACAATACTTAGGTGCACAGTAAACCAATCGAGCACTGGCATTCATGACTCTTTGAAGTTTCTTAATTTGATACTCAGGAGCACCGTACAATAAACCATTACAGTAGTCAAGCCTGCTTGTGATGAACGGGTGAACAAGCCTCTCGGTGGACTCACGAGACAAATACTTCCTAATGTGCCGGATATTGTACAAATAATAAAACGCGCTAGCACAAGTCTTAGGTAACTCGTTAAGTCTGTTGGCGGCACACAACAAGGATCTCGGCGCTGCTTCGCAGAAGTTACCAACCAACGTTAAATTACGTCTACGACGCAGGTTAGTAAATACCATTTATAAGAAGAAAAATAATACGCGCCTTTCATACGAAAGCGCGTCCAAATTCTACCATTTATCAGTCATGTCTTCGCTTCCTTTTGTACGGAAAGTTCGCGTCTTAGGGTGCGTTCCTTTGGGATGATCCGGATAAGGATCAGCGATCCGAGATCACTTGGATCATGATAGATCAAATGAACCGATGAACCCTTGTCCAGAGTGGATTCATCGGTTCATTTCATCTACCATGATCCGAGTGATCTCGGATCACTGATCCTGATCCGGATTACCTCAAAGGAACGCACCCTTATTTTTCCCCGTATCAATGGCACTAATGCGTGCTACACTTGACAAAATTGCGACTGTCACCAGCACTACCCGAGACTTCAAATGTATTGAACGCTATCAATCGTTTCTTGGAAAGGTGTTACCTCTCACGTTGTGTGAACTTGTCACACAACCGGTTTTTTAATATCAGTGATTCTCGGTAAAATAAATTTTACACTAGTCATATTGTTTTTGCTTTGTCCCAAGCCAAAACGGGAATTTATCACATGGCTGGCTTAACAAGCAGGCAAGATGAAGCAAACCCTTTTTTTCATATTGGCTACCCAAGCGGGCAAGATTGGACCATCTTTACCCGAGGGTCGGGATATCCCTCCTTGACCCTGCAAGGAAAAAGGTTCTCTTGGCAACTGAATTAATCCTTTGTTGACCAAGCTTGTTTCGTCAAGATGGCTAGATATTCGTTTTTTTTTGTATTTTTTTGCGTTTTTATTGACTGCGGCTGATTTTCCATCGTTTTAAAGCAGCGGCCTGTGGCAAATCAAAAATGTCTATTATTAATCAGTCAATTGTGCGCTTATTTATCCGAGGTAACAAGAACTACTAAAATGGCAACACAACGTGCACGATTCACATAGATAAAGTTATCGGAAATTTAGGGTGCTGGAACAACGAAAGAGGCGGAGACACTTTCATTGTCTTCCTTTTTTAACCAGCGACACCTTAGTTAAGCAGATACCAGACGAACATTCATTGATTAGTAGCTCATTTGTTTGTCCTGATACTGAGCTCTTCTCTATAAGACGGACACAACTCCCAAGCAGATAGCTAGAGGTGGCCCGGAAGTGTCAGGCTAAAGAGAGGTTACGAACTAAACAACAAATTTGAGGTCCCAGACACGTAGTTATACTATACATCGCTATCGAAAATAGTAGAGCGGATATCGTTTATCACACCGCGCCATTTCCTAGAGGCTCTTGCTGGTTGAGCAGTTTTTCCAGCGTCCCAGATCGCCTTTTATCGTTCAACTTCCGGCATTACAGTGTCTATTCTGTACGTACAAAGTCTAAAAAAAATAAGATTGGCTGATATCTTCGAAGCAATTACCACGCATTTCTTTCTATTAGTTTCTTTCCTCCCTCTAGTCGTATCTTTTGTCTCAGGCCATGCACTGTCGTCTGGGAAATTCTGTTTGGCACTTGCGTTCACGACTGAACAAATAATTCTCATTCACAAAAAAAATAGCAAGAAGCCTTAAGAAACAGTTCACGAATTCCGACCCGGAAGGCAGGACTACATCTTCAGGCGTTCCGTTTGTTCCAAAACAATATTTCCAAAAGTAGAGAAACCAAAAAGTCACGGTAGTCATGAGTAGGCTTGATTTCCACTGCTCTCTCCTCTCTCGCCGGGTAAAGTCTTGTCCCTCCCCTCCCTCCTTTCGGGGAAGGAGCGCGGGCTCATTTCCAGAGCAGCGGGCTGGTAATCGAGCTTTACTGTAGACTCCCGTTAACCTGAATTCCCACGGGAAAGGGGCATAAGTTTCAATTAGTGGGGGTCCCAAATAACGAGGTTTAACAACACTGTTTCAGCAACCAAACTATGCAAGTTCACAAACCCGGAACTAAGGCTTTCTGCCAACTGTAAATTAGGTGATACAATTTCAAGCGCAAATCGCTGGCTTAAACTGACCTAACTGCAAATCTATAAAATTAGTCTATGATTCTAATGATTTTAACAAAGATAAGCTACGTGTGGAAGTTCATCCGGGTGCACATATACAAAATGATCAACCTAGTAACCAGAGAGTTTTCGTTAACCGGTTAAATTCAAGCTAAACAGAAATAAAAATAGATTGAGTATGGCTTTTTGTACCGTGCCCCTTTTCCAATACCCTGCCAGCAGATATTTCTCTCTTACATGGCTTTCAGCGTTTACAAAGTCGTTCGCGTCGCTTGTCAGTCTTGAATTGCGACGGCTGACAAGCGACGCGAGCGACTTCGTAAACGCTGAAAGCCATGTAAGAGAGAAATATCTGCTCGCACGGTACTTTTCCAATCGTTAAGCTGTTATAGCAACACGGCATGACAGATCTTTCTATTGTGGGCCCGGGGGGGGGGAGGGCACTCCCATACATTACCTATACGGGTATGTGCCGCCCAACGGGGTCGTGATTTTGAAGCTCCTGATTTAGAACGGGGTATCCATTTCAGAGGCGTTTTCTAGAACGGAGTATAAAAAATTGTGGATCACGGCTTTATCTTCTGCTTAAAATTGTTGCTGATTATGAAGAAGCATTTATTTGATATATAAGTCGAACAAATAAAGAAATATCTTTTTAAAAAAAACGGGGCTATTTCAATTTACAAACTTTTTAGAACGGAGTATAAAAAATTGGCCCATTTCTAGAACGGGGTATCAGTTTTAGGGCGAATTTTTCTTAGAACGGGGTGCCAATTTGGAGTCCCGGGCGGCACATACCCACCCAAAAAATACCCAAGTGCCCCCCCTCCCCCCCCCCGCCGAGCTGAAAGCCATGTAAGAGAGAAATATCTGCTCGCACGGTTCTTTTTTAATCGTTAAGCTGTTATCGCAACACAGCATGACAGATCTTTCTGTTGTGGGCAACCGCAAAACCGCAAAACCAGCTGAAGTATGTCCTCAAGACAATGCAAAACCCCTGCAAAACATACCAGCATTCCACGCATGAAAAAAAATTCAAGGGCACACAGTGGGGGAACCAAATATCGATTGTCCTAAAAAACAAATCACCACAGTTTTTTACAATAAGACAGTCTTTATTCAAAGATTTCAATTTACAGGCGGAATTAGTTAATGCATGTTATTTATCAACAAACGAGGTCCAACTTTACACGCCTCAGTGGCTACAAAAAAGACATTGTGATTCATTCCTTTAGTCAAGGTAATGTTAGTGTAATGACATGGTTATCAATTTGATGTTATCCCTGGAACCGTTGGTCAAGTACACTTTACTCTAAAATCCAAAAAAAAGGTAACAAAACGACACAAGATAAGATGAAGTGAGTCGAAGCCCCGTGCCCTAAGAAGTAGGCCAAGTGTCTACAGCAGGACTATGCTAGCCGCTTAAGGGATTGGTTCCTGCAAGCGTAAAGTTCAATTAACAGAATTAAACAGGGTTTGCCATGGCGGCCGTATGTAGAGTTGTCTATTTGAAGCAACAATGTCCGCTAAGTGAGCTTCGACCGCAAATAATACACATGCAAAAAAGAGATAAATTTCAATATCAGAATTTGCTTGGTCAACCGAATATGATTGGCATATTGCTAGCTAATTAAATAACGCCGTCATAGGGCAGAACAATGCATTATCAACTTTAGACAATATCTTCAACGAAAAAATAGTATCATTGAATTTATAGATAAAATTACAACCAAACAAAACTGTAGAACTACCTTCGTAACAAACGAGTTAAATTGTTTCGGTTAAAGGATGATGCCGTAAGATGTTACTGCTGAAGATATTTTAACTATCCCGTGTGGTTCAAACTTTATTATAATATCCACACGCACGAGGAAAAATGCAGCTGTTGGGCAGATATTTCGCATGCATCTTTGGGTAATAGAGCGGTTTTCACTTGACTGTCGTAAAACCAAAACCAAAGTAAATACACTAGCTAACCAAAGGGCGTAGTAAAACCAAAACCAAAACCAAAACCAAAACCAATTACTTTCGACAGTCAAGTGAAAACCGCTCTAAATCCCTACTCAAACACCTGAATAGTGTGGTTGTGAAAGTCGGAGACAATAATTTTACCGTCACGAAGAACAGCTGCTTTGGTCGGTTTCTTAAACTCCCCCTTGCCCTCGCCTTTCGTTCCAAATTTTGCTAAGAACTTCCCGCCCGGTTCAAACAACTGAATTCTGTGGTTGTATGAATCACAGACCATTAGATGCCCTACGTTGTTGAATGAAAAACTCCAGGGTTCCTTGAATTTTCCATCCCCTTCCCCTTCCCCACCAATTTTGTAACGGTAATTACTCTTACACCCGACCTTACTGAACACTTTGATGGAGTGATCACCTCTGTCCAACACAAAAATATGTTTGTCATTGTCGACAGCGTCATAAGGGTTGACGAATAAGTCCTTCCCACCGAATTTATCCACAAACTGGCCGGTGGAAGAAAAGATCTTGACTTGTTTATTGCCTGAATCAGCCACCATGATATTTCCGTCACTGTCAACTGATACTCCGTGTGGATTGTTGAGCTGGTGATCAAGGCTTCCTTGGCCTCCAAACTTGCAAAGGAGTTTACCCTGACCATTGAACATATTTACTCGATGGTCGTTACAGTCTACTACGAAGATGTTCCCATATCTGTCAAGGGCTACGCCAGCTGGAAAGATCAAAGCCTTCTTTGCTCTGCCGAATTCTCTGACATAGCTGCCGTCACCACGTAGTATTTGCACACGGTTGTTACCCGTGTCAGTTACTATAATTTCGTTTAGCTCATTGACGGCCAATCCACAAGGTTTGATAAGCATTCCAGGAATAGAGCCATGCCCTGCTAAAGATAAGAGGGGACTGAACTGCCTGGGCTTGACTTCAACTTTAAAAGGACTGCCATCAATATGTTTCCCATTCACCTCCACGGATGCCTCGTGCGTTCCGATTTCTTTGGGAAAGTAGGTGATATTGTAAGTGCCGTTTTTGTTATCTTGAATTTGACTTACGACCGCGGAGTCATGTCCTTGAGAGTTCTGGATTTTTAATGTTACGACATCCAACTTTTCGTAAGACTGTTGTCCCGCGGAATTTCGAGTCGTAACAACAAACCCGCTTTCGAGGCCATAAATCGCTTCAGTGATACCCTCTCCTACAGCAGTAGTTTGTTGAGATTCAGTTCCGCTGAGAAAGGTCTGGAATGAACCAATCCCTTCAGTGTTCAGAATGTGCATCAGCAACTCGTTCCCTTTGAAAAAGAGTCGACGAAAACGTTCAAGGTCACAGTCAACCATCGTGTCTCCGTCATCTCTCACTCTTTCCTGAAAGATTGCTTCTAACCGCACAATCTCAGCGCTTGTTCTTTCCTTTAAAAGCAACTCTGTCTTCGCGACTTCTTTCTCAATCCATTGAAAGTCAAGTTCCAACTCACGTCGTTGGTTCTCTAGGCGTTTTTTAGATTCTTTCATTTTTTCCTCCATACGTGAGAAAATGTCTTGTTTCTTCGCTTCGATGACCGATACTAAATTGTCAACACACCCCTGCACGTCCTGTTTCGTGTTTATGACTTCCTCTTGCATTTTAGAACAAATCTCTTTAATTTTGGTTATTTTACTCCTCTTCAGAAGCATCTTCTCTTTCTGTTCCTCAATCGCAGACCTAAATTGCATTCTACGTTCATTGGCTGCGTCTTCAATATGCACTTTAAGATGGCCCTCGTGATCCAACGAACTACACACGGAACACATGGCAACTACGCATCTTATGCAAAATAACTTCAGCTCTTCTCTCTCGTGATTTCTCTTCTGGCAAAACGCAGGTCGCTCGGGTCGCTTTAACACGGACTCAAAGTCTTCAGTTTTGAAGTCTTCCAGCGCCAGAGACCTGTGCTGTTTGCTTGCTTTCATTGTGTTATGCGCCACGATACACTTCTCGCACCAGAAAGAACGACACTCGAAACAGTAAAAGCTTTGGCCATGCGCATTGACTTGTTCACAATTCCCACATTTTACATTTTCCTTGCCCTCTTTGATCGCCCGCACATCGCGCAAACTGTTCATGCGAAAGTCTGTGGGCAACTCGCTGAAATTTCCACTCTCAGGGACCGGAATATCCTTCCTGCATTCCGGGCATGAAATAGTAGATCGGCTCCCGCTCGTTCGCAGAATTTCGTTTAAGCAGTGAAGGCAAAAGGTGTGCAAGCACGGCAGCTGCTTTGGATCAGTGAAAGTGCAATGGCACACAGAACAGGTCAGTACTTTATCAAGATTCTCCAACAACGTCTGCACATTCATATTGGAATGATACTTAAATTGATCAACAAAAGGAGTTGCGGCGCTTTTATATATTGGTATCGCGTGCGAAACAAAGGAAGTGGAGAAGGTAAATGAACCATAAATCACGCCCTGAGGCAGCAATGCTGGTTGTTTATAGCTTATGAGAAATATTACTGCGCTATAACTTGGTTCAATTGGAGCCCACTGGGCACAAATTTCAGCTAGCACTGTTGTTTGCCATCGTGTTTAAACAGTATCTTAGAGTTTTTAGACAAAACCCACCCACGTAACCACTTGTCCCGACGCAACCTTAATTCATTTGTTTTGGAAGCCCTATGGGTGATTTTGGGAATTAATTGTTTCCCCCCATTTGATCATCCCCGTCGCTTGGAATCCGGAGTAAGCCATTTCGCTTCCGATTGAAGCTCATTCAAAGTAAGAAGTTTCCTCCAAAAACTCACATTCACTTTGCAAAAGTTCTGCCAGGCGGGTTAAATTTGAATGGTAACACCTCAGGATTTTGTCTGCAGATTTAAAAGTTTGGACTGACAGATATTTGGCCATAACTTTAAAAAATCAATTATTTTTATTTTAAAAATTACGTAGTCGCAACATCTGTGTTAAAACCTTGAAGTATTGAGAAACACATCACTTACTAAATGTCCAGCATAAAAAAAGTTACCAGTCCACTTTCGTAGTTGGAAGTGTATTTCCTGTATTTTTATGTTGTTTTGCGATAAAAAAATATTACAAAAAATAAATATGTAAATAAATACAAAAAGGTAAAAATGCTAGACCGCGAGCGTCCGTCCTTCTTTCCTCATTAGGGACCTTACGAAACCACGACGGCGACAGCAACCGCAACGTCAAAAAACAATAGGTTTAGTAAGCAAAACAACAACTCCGCACGTGCATTACGCTTTTTTGTACATTTCTTTGCCGTCTCTGCACAACTACGACGTGAAATGACCAAATTTCAAGTGTTTTTGGAGGAAGAGAACGGCAAGGCGATAAAATCTACCATCTCTGTCTGAACTCGGGCGCTGCCCTCTCTCTCTTCAGTTCTAATCTAAAACCCCTTCTTTTAAGCAACAGGACGACTTCGGAAAATCGTGAAATGGTTTGAAAGGATGCGGAGTCTATTTTTCAGTGACCTGTTTATGGACGTCGTCGTTGTCGGATCGTAAGGTTACTGCGACCGAAAAAGTGAAATTATGGCTGCAAATTAATGCACAGGGGCCCACATAATCTGTCGATAATCTGTTTGTGAAACTGATTATATTGTAGTTTTATAGTAAATGTACTCGATTTACCGTTTGCCTAATCTGTAGCGGTATATCGCTAAATATGTGCATAAATCAATGCTACACAAACGTTGTGTACTGTAAAATGATTTGCTTGAGAGACCGACAAACAGGAACTTTCCCAGTGCGCAAAGCCCAATGCCCAAAACAACCTTTATTGAATCAGGTGTATACGGCCACACAGTATGACTGATGAATTGTGGAAATATATTCAAAACTTGGTTGCGTGTTGCGTGTACGAAACAAAAACATTTGATCTTCTTGTACGAATTCGCACAAGGTGTTTTCGTTTCGTGCGTTCCCGAGATACTCAACTATGACGACAAAGAATGTGACTTTTCACCTCGTTTAAGCGTTGATATAAAAGAAGGCCGACAGTGTGGCTCAAAAATAGACCATGATTAGCGATGACGATTGCTTCGTTAAGTTGACACGTTTAACAGCGAATGATTTGAACCTAGGAGTCAATTCATAAGTACTTATGACTTAACACGTATTAAAAGTTAATTAATGATTTGGTTTCTGGTCGGGCTTCCTTTCTAAACCGCATCTCTAAACAACGACATTTGAAGCTATAATAGCACTGCAGGTATGCGCAGTTTTTTGGTAACTTTTAAAATATAAAACGATGGAACTCCGCGAAGCTGGACTTCTGAGGTAATGCAGGAAAGAGAAGAAAACGATCACAAGCCATGACTTTTCCATTTTTTCCAGTGAGACATCTTAAAATGTAGAGTCACTCGTTTATTAGAGTACACGATACTCGCTTTTCAGTCAGTTCGCTGCTGATTTAACTAATGTTCATGCATGACCATTAGTTAACCCCAGCTTATTTATCCAATCCCTGTTAACTCCCAGTCCTTACAATGTGCGTCACTCAACAGCAATGAGCCATTAACTGGACATCACACGTAGCACACCTTGGTCGCTACAAGGCTTCATGCAGTCACGACACTAGAGTGCTGTATATATATTTACACTTTGGTCGTGGATTGGAAATTTCAAAAGAAGCTCCTTTTTAGAAAAATGTTTTATCTGCAGAAACCGTAAACATTTTCCCTTTCCTAGACCTCCGGCAATGAACATGACCTTTCACCTCGTTTTAGCGAGTTTCGAAAGTACGCCTATCGTTAGGCACGTACACTTGGTTTCGGAGTTGTTGAGTACGTATTATTGCTCTGGTATGATTGATTGCTCCATCGTTTACTCTCTCTGTCACTCTTTTCAATAACAGTTGAAGTGACTGCAGGTGAATAAACAAGCCGCGCCTTTCGAGTTGAAGGAAGCTCATTTAATATGACAAAATCAGAAACGCTTCTGGATAGTCTTGTGGCTCCCGAACAGTGGAAGAAAAAGATATTTAATTTTTGAATTATCCCTAAAAATACAGACTTTAAGACGCTATTAGTGTGCTTATTTTGGTTTTTTTTTGTTGATATATTTTGTTGAGTGGATAATCATGAATAAGAAGAGTCACTCCACGGATCACTGTACACCATAATTGTTCCCTAGTTTTGCGAATGTTCATTAGTGGCTATTGTATCAGGGGAACTCAACGAGAATATAGTTCAAAACCACTTAAACATAGCATTGTTAAACGTATTTTAGTATTTAAACGGTAGATATAGCCATATATTTATGCCCTAAAAATTTTTCATCTGTTCGGATTTCCTAGCTGAAAGTCTAGTGATCCGAAAATTATAGGGATCAACACTTACATTTTCGAAAATTTCAGCCAGAAAAAGGGCTCCCGAAAATTCTAGGTGATCTTTTTAGGGCAAGAATCCGTTAAAAAATTTCAATTATACCATTTTTTAGATGTTCGAAAATCCTAGGAGAGGTAGGCAGGCAAAAAATTTTGCAACAAATGCTCCGAAAATTCTAGATCTCAAATCGTCTTCCAAACAGATATATTCCGAAAATTTACGTTGAGTGCCCCGGTTGTATGAACAGCTCAGTCTTTTTTTTCTACTGTTGATCTTAAGTTGATCCGAACGTATTTATCCAATGACTGCTTTCTTCTACGCCCTCCAATGTGCGTCAGGTTAACAAAAACAGGTCATCGACCGGATATTAGCACACACTGCTCGCTACATAAACCCATTTAATTTAGATACTTAAGAAGCCAGCATGCAAAAGTGCTGTCACGATATTCAATGCGAGTAGTAAACTTGTCCGGGTAGTAAGCTACATGAAGAAATTCTGAAGGGAAAATATTGCGAAACATCATAACTATGTGGAAGTAGTGAGTTTAGAATTTTTTTTCAAAGGTCTCATTATAGGAGTTCGCCCACAGAGCAGCTGACAGAGACAAAAGTTACAACAATCTCATTCAACATAATAAATCTACATTGTACATTGCATAGTAGCATTCAAAACAAACAGTACACTTAGAGAAAATGAAAATAAAACACTGCAATCACTGTACAAGAATTGGTTCCAGGGGCATGCGCAGATGCCAAACGAAATAAAAAAAGGGGCTTTTGCTTAAAGGAGCTGTGTCACGAAATTCAGCCAAATTATGTAATTACAAAATGCCCGTTAAGAGAAACGTGAAAATAACCGCTTAAAACATTGAAGGAGGGTTAAAATAACACAACAGATACAACAGATGCCACGGATGGGCAAAAATGAAGAAGATGGAAACGGATTGAAATTAGAGTTTTTGAAAACTGTTCAGCCTAACAGTTTTTCAAAGTTGATCTCTACCGTTTACAACTTCAAAAATAATGCTCAGAAGACAAATTTGGTTGTCTCGAATCTCTGCTTGTGTCATTTACAAGTAATTTCTTTGCTTATTTTAAGTTCCGTAGCGACTGAGGGCGAGTAACTGGCAAAATTAAACAAATTGAACTGGACTGCCGTGACACAGCCCCTTTAAAAACCTATAAATTATTATTTATAACAATTTCTTCAGTTGAATAGTATATCAAATTAACATGTTGCGTTTTAATAACAGAGTAATTTGTCGCGTAGGCTATCCAGCAGTAAGTTATACTCTGCACGCGTAGAAACTCACAGATCAAGAACCATCTTTCTTTGTTCTCAGTTCCGGCCACATAAGGCAACTCAGGACCGTAAGGGAGTCTTCAGTAATCATTTATAAGGATTTTCTACAATTGGCCAGTGTACAGAGCACAAAGCAAGTAGCAATGAGTAGTTACACAAGTCGGAAAAAAGACAGTTTAAAATGGAGAAGATTAGTTCAATAAAGTGTTATTTTTGTGGTTACTGCGTAAGGGTGGCTATTACTAGTCCAAGTACCCATCTGTACCCAAACTTCAACCAGTGGTAGCAAAAGTAGTAGCAAAGACTTTCTCAAGAAGCTATTCAAAGTAAGCGTTTACAAGAAACTGAAAACATCCATTAAAAGGCTAAGAGTGGTGATCAGAACAACCTATCCCGGTTCCAGGTAGGGCTAGAACAAAGAACTCTCATGGCCTAACGTTTTTGGCTCATTTGGGCCACCCTACCCTTAGTGCCACAGACTTTTCATGCATGGTTTCCAGTTTCGTTTTCCGGTTTTTTCAGTTTTTCAATAGTGACCCGGCACTTTTACATGATGCTATAATGTTTTTCTGTATTTTAGAAAATGAAACTTAAGATTTTTCTCCGCAAATTTTCATAAATCATTTCCCACAGTTACATAATAGTAGGAGTGAAACTGGATCACAGACCTATGTAGCAAAGATAATAAAGATAATGAAACTGCTCTTAATAACCAGCAAACAGACAAGCAGTTGTTAATCTGTTATCTTGTCTAAGTATTAAAGTATTATTTTATATACCTGTCTCTGGTTGTTTTTGCTAGCTTTCCTTCTTCCTTCTTGTCTTGATCCATACCCATCATAAAACTACCCATACGACCAACCTACAGGGAGATACGAAAAAACAGTTAACAGTCAAATATTAAAGAAAAAATTATACGGAAATTCTCTATCTATTAATTATATTGATATGAGTCTGCTGTCTGAAAATAGATTAAACTTGAACACTGAATCCCAGAGTAAAGTAGTTCTTAACTGTGATTCTGAGAAATAAATCTTATTTTGACGATTTGAGGTTATAGAACACTCTTTGGAGTGTCTCTCATCCAAGCAATGCAGCATGTTCAGTAATTTTGTTGAAAATAAACTTTTTTATGAGTCTCTGGGCCCATCTCCTGGACAATCATGATAATATTTCCCAGTCTCAACACAATGAGTCGCAGTCCTGTTCACCCATTTAGAAATTACTTCTGGACATACAGTGTATTTATTTTTGGTGGACAGAAAATATTGCTCTTCTGACTTGAGGAAAGTTTTATAAACAAAAAAAAAAACAAAAATCAACTTTGCACACAAAGAGAATCTCCACCAAAACATGATTCTCCAGATTGTCCAGTTAATGATCTTTGTGTCCTACAGACACTGTCTACTGCTTGACAGATGAGCTGCAACCCTGGGGATGTGATTTACAATCAAGCACAAATGATTCACTCTGATTTGGCTTCTTACTTGAGATTCAGCTTGCTCTAACTTCTCTGAAAGATCTGCAATCTGATGATTGGTATAATCTGCATTCTGAAAACAGGTGAGATAAAATTATCATACTCACTTTGACTTTGGCTAGTACACAGCATCTATAGTTATCATTTCATTAACAAAACAACAGGCCCAATAGTCATAAGCTCTACTCTTAACATGCTTTCAAATAGTTTACTTTTTTCACGTCAGTTTGGTAATAATAAAAGTTTGTAGCTACTGTATAAGTTAGGCTCAGCTAACTTCATGAACAGAAGTGTTCAGTTGCTCGCACCTTAGATCAGGATGTTTTAATCTACTATAAGAAAAGTTTTAGATACGAGTTATTTATGGTGTTTGTCAACCTCATGTGTCTCAAAGTAAATTCATTTTATAGGTGGTTTTAGGATTAACGAAGGACAATCTTACATTAAAAAGACATTATGTACAGAACCTGTTACATGTAATCCTTATTATATTATTGCTACCTTTATAATAAAAAAAAGCTAAAGGTACTTACTGTAAGAAGACTTGAAGAAGAGAGTGTGTTAACCCAGTACTTATTCCAAAGCATCTCAAGAAGCTTTCTGTCTAGTGATGACTTGAAATAAGAAACATCTAACGAGTAGTATCTGCAAATGACAGTATTGAAATCATGATTTATTTCATAATTTAAGATGAAATCCATTAGGAAATTGAGTAATTTTAATTTTCAGTGGACAAAAACCTTGTACTAGAATAATAAATTTAATTATTTAAACGCATTGCATTCGTTTTTACACTTTTCAGGGGCTATAAATGTTATAAGACAGTTATAAGATAGAAATAACTCCAAACGGTTCCTTTAATGTAGGAGCCCGAGAGGACAAACTTCACGAAAGCTTCAAATATCACAAAAAAAATCTTATGCATGATGACTTTACCTGTTTTTTCTTAATTCCCGTGAAATTAAAAATAAAATTTTCTCGGGTTCCCTTAAGAACCTTTTCTTAGGAGTTATTTCAAATAACTTATTTTAACTCTTTTTCCCAAAATCATTTGCTTCGGTTGCTTCTTAATACTTGCTTCAAGCCTGGTAAACCTGAACTAGTACAATGGACCAATAATTACAGGAACAAGGACATACTGTTTACAATGCACTCCAAAGTCTTCAATCTTGTTTAAAGGAATTGTTTGATACTCTGATGGTCCTTCATCTGGAGGCTTATAACCCTGACACAAAGATAAGAAAGTTGGTTTTGTTTAGAGAAAAAAATAATCATCATCATGTGCAGTAAAGAAATAATGATACTCTGAATGAAAATATTGACCCGGTGACATGGTCCTTAAATTAAGACATTATTATTCTCCGTTTCTCGGGACATTTACATATCTCTAGACAATGTTTCACCTTTGGATATGTCCTGAATGCTCCTAAATTTACTTTTCCTGCTGAAATAGTCCGTGTAGGATCAATCTGTAAAATGTGTAATAAAAACAAAAAAAATTGCAAATTTTGGAAGTAGGAGAGAAGAAACTGTAAATTTAGCCAAGGAAACATATACAAATGACTGCATTTATGATCACGCTTTTTAAAACAAGAGAGCAGGGCGCTCCACCTATTTGTTATTTCTTACTACATTACAAGCATTTAAACTATTCAGTAGAAACAACTGCTCCCAGGCCCATTATGTGAACCTCTATTGACTGTAAGGGTAAAGTGTAAGTTAGAGTTCTTACTCAATGCAACTACTGTAAGTATTAATAAAAGCAATGTAAAATATCATTTCACAGATGTGCTTCTCATTTATAAAGTCCCTAAATAAAACATGGTACAAGACTTGGACGCAGGTATCATTAATAATTTATTCTTATATAAATTTATACATCCATGGGTAAAGGTTTTTTAACTCTCCTGCAATGGAAATTCATTTACGTAAAATTTGAATAACTATTAAATAATTATTTTATTATCTACAACTTTTAAAAATGAGGAACCCTAGACTGCATATCAAGAATGTGAATTTACTCACCACAATAGCTACAAAAGGTTCTTGGAATTGTTGATTGACCATCTGTGTTCCAACATCAATTCCTGATAACCAACACCCATACCCAGGGTGACTGTGATACCATCCAATTGCATTCTCCAAACGACCCACCTGGTATGGACGTACACACACAATCACGTTTATAGGCACTTATACTGTATACTGTACTTACTAGAAAATAAACTAATTCAATAGAATTTTTTAGAAAGAAGGAAAGGGGGAGAAAACTGATTGTATGATTAAACACCAGGCACCATACATGTACAACTGTTTGATCAAAACTTCAACCCTTCACATGCACATGGTTCAGAAATTAATGAGGAGCAAGAATATCAGTCAAGTATTCACTTTTTGTGTAATTAAATAGCAGGTTTCCAATCAAACTGCAATGCAGACAAACCTTCATTAAGCAGTCACCCTTGGAGAATGGTTAACTGACCACTTAATACAGGTTTGACAAACCAAAGGCTTGATCAAGAAAATAGACGGTGGCAAAGGGTAGTATCCATAACATGACAAGTTGACCTCAGAGTGTTTCTACCTCTGCTTGCGCCAAATGAAAAGAGAGTAAAACTAGACCACTGAATGCAGTGCTCAGTGTATCTATTGCACTTGCATCTTGAGAAAGTGAGAGTTCAATGGATGTGAAAACAACAAATAACAGAAAAACACCACAGAAAAGGTGACTGCGACCATTAACAGATGTGACCACTTGATACAGGTCAGTTTTACAGTAATTAAGAGAAAATATGCTTTAGGGGACTTAAGAAAGTGAATGCTTAATAAAGGGTGACCGCTTAATACAGGTTTGTCAGTAGTCTTTTTAGATCACACCTCACCAATTTAGCAGATTCAGTATATGCTGCCATGTACTCATACGCAGCTGCCTGAGCATTCACTCTTGTTTCAGTTCCTTCTACAGGCAGAGCAAACGCATCCATTACAATCATGGTATCACCATCAACTTTTCCCAGCATAAGTCCCATCACCTCCAGGTTCCCACCAGACCTGGCATGCATTACCTAGAGATACACATGAAAATGAAAACTGTTAGTGGCTGTTGATACAATGATATTTAATTTACATATTAAATATTTTTTCCATTTCTGATTGGTTTAAATCCCCTGGGTGGCTAAGTCTTCATAACCAGTTAACACCACCAAATTGGACGATATCAGCAAATATCAATGGTATTGATGTCAATAGGCCAGTTTTGATATATTAAAATTCAGTAATAACGTTTCATAGATATTTTGCACAACATTTTTTTCAGTGACTTTTTTGCAGTAATAAAACAGAGGAGGACATTTGGTTGATGATTTCAACTTTATTGGGCAGAAATCACACGAAACAAGCAAAAAACATGAACTGGTACCCTTATGTCTTCCAAGCTTATTCCTTTTCATCAGGCTTAAAGAATTACAAACAAACATCGGGTGAATCGACTTGATTCCAGGCAAATTTTCATGGGGAAATTGACTTTTGGGCAAAACGACCTGTGTCAGCTGCACCCACCAGTTGTGGGGTAAGTAACAAATCTTCAGTAGCCAACAAATGCAGAGGATTTCCAGTCGTGGCTAGACTGGGCTCACTAAACTGGGAAAAGAATTTATTTTCAATTCATGTGAACCAGGACAGACTCTTCTTGACATTTCATGGAGTAGGGATGAGATAAAACCATTTACAAGTATGCAAATACTGTTTTCAAAACCTGATGCTATTGAGAATTTGCAAGGCACATTTTGTGCAAACACACAAGGGATTTTCCAGGGTATTGTTCAATATAATGTTCAATACTTTCAGACATCTGGGGAGTGTTGAAAAAAGCAACAAGGTTTCTGCCAAATGAATTGAAACACTACAAAGAACCGTGCCAGAAATTTCTGGCTTTTCATTTGGAGGTTTAACTGTTTTAACCCATTCGCTCCTGAACCGCCTGTAACCGCCCGTGCAGATCCGCGTCCTTTCTACCCTTTGTGACGTCATCAGTTTTAACGATCAAGGACAACTTTGTCTGCTAACTTGAGCATAGTGAAGAGATCTTTCAAACCATACCAGAATAAGCACAATTCAGTGAAGGACACTGGAGAAAGAAGCAAAAAACCATGTGACATTGACCTGAAAATCTCCATGAAAATCTTGTTCCATTGCTCAGCTACTTTTCCTTTCACCTAATCCTATGATCCTAAAAGCTTTCCTTACAACTCTTCCCACCAAAACAAAGCCTACAAAATGCCCAGCAAGAGGGAAAAAAATGAGGCAAGAAAAGCAAAAAAAGAGGGGAGGAGAGAAAGTGAAAAGTAAAAGTCAAGACTGCTGTGTCACTTTTAACCCCAAAAACTATCTCGAAATTTTGATTTCTGCGCATGCCCAAACTTCGCAAGCTGAAATTTTGCATCTGGATCAGAAGGCCGTGAAGTGTACAACCTGTAAACCGGTTTGTGGTAAGTTTTTGCTCTTTATAGCACAACAGTGACCAGAAAACCACTTGACTAGCTTCAAAACGCGTTTTTCGGCAAAATCTCCAGGAGTGAATGGGTTAATCAGTGTTAAAGAATTAAAGCATGCTTGCCGCTTAGATTGGCAAAATGTTTCAACTGTGTATATGCTTGCTGATGTTATTTGGAAAAATTTCCTTGTAATTCTATCGTAATCACTGTTTCAAAAGAACAAGTTTGTAGACACACGAAATCAATGCTAAATGTGCCTGGTATGTTTTTCATCATAAGCAGAAATTGGTTAATAAATTGATGAATGGTACAAGGTGTGAAATTCCTATCACGCTCCCAGACGCACGAGTGTCAGTCATGTTTGGACAGTCCCTCTATTTTTCCTGCTTCTTCCCAAATCGTCCCACAACCCCTTTAGTAGATTTGACACTCATCTAAGATGGTCCCCCGCAATGCAAAGTCTTCGACCTCGATGATCTTACACAAAAATAGGGAACTGTGAACAGTCTAAGCCATGGCAACAACTGGAAATAAGTTTGCATTTGCGCGCTAATCTCCAGGGATAGAGTCAAATCTCAGAGTTCTTTAGAGCAAAAAATGTGGCAATATGTACCAGACATGGTATATTACATTCCCTACCATTTTTAACAATGCCAAGGCGGAAATTTTTATGTTCTTGAAGTAGTGTGGGCTGAAAAGTTAAAATAAAATAAAATTTAAATTTCGCTTAAATAAAATAAACTAAAAACAACACATTTTTACAGGCTTTCTTATTAAGATTGTTGCACTAGAGGAACTCACTCTTTCTGCCAAGGTTTTGCTTGGAGAATTTCTTGCTGTTGTTGGCGGTCAAACTTGAAAATTTCGTCCACGCTGTTCACTGTCTCGATATTGTTTGACAATTCCCAAGTCTTAAAAGCCATTGTGGTATCTCCTCCAGACATTTTCCTGGACACGAATAAGATAGAGACAGCACAGCTGGCAGAGGAAACAAAATGGCCGCTTTTACCCATAATCCCTATCGCACTTAAGCAATGTGGGGACCTGGGGCGAGAATAGAGAGGGACGCCATTTTGACAATACAAGTCTAATACTTTGTGTCTCTTCTGAACGATTCAAGGATTCTGTGGCAATTCCTCTGGTTATTTCCTGCCTTGAGACAATAGTCAAATATGGGAGAAGTATATGCGCCATCAGTAAGTGTTTGGAATTAGACCTTTCAGACAATAAGTTTAATTTTGCAGTTTAGCTTCGCCGCATGCTTATTTTTTCGAATGTTTATATCACACAGTGGTCCCGACAGATGTTCAGTTTGCTAAAACTTTGTACAGAATACCTAAGCGTTTCATAGGGTGTTTGACCATGTTAACTTGACGTCGTTGATTTCACCCTTCTTCTTCCTTTTTGCAAGGCAATATTTTGTCGAACTAAATACAGGCAGTTGGTACATCAAAGCGGTTTGTCACGCCGCAAATTATGTACAAAGCGTTGTAAATAATGGGTGTGTTATTCAGGCCTTCCCATCGCCAGCTGATCGCAAGATCAAAAGATCAACCTGTTACCAATAATAGCTGGATCACTTGTGTACATAGCTTAGGTTTCTGCATAAAAACAACTCAGATTTTTGAAGAACTCGATTCATTAATAGGTTGAAAACTGAAGGTCTTTTAAAATAACCTAGGGATAATTTAAACATTCCCAAGTGGTATTCTTAGGGACAATCATATCACTGCCCCAAAATCATAGCCCTCTACATGTCTTGTATTTGTACAATTGTAACTTTTAAGAACAGTTCAGACTACAAAATAACCTTTGATTTTCACCACTTAAATTACATTGTACTTCTTAGGGTCAGTCTGAGGCGGCACAACTTCTCGCCACATTTTGGCCTCGTCAAATGCAAGAGATCAGAAATATGAATACTGTAAGTGACAGTTAGAAATAAATTTACAGCAGATGAGAAATCCCTCGCATCATGGGTGGTTTTTTATGTATTTGTAGAGATGCCCTTTAATTTTATTATCAGTCATGGATTAGTTGGAGGAGGTGATTGTTTGAAGGTTGGTGCTGAGTACTTTTCAAAGTATTTATGGTCCATGTCAGTTAAGTGTCTGGTACCTTTAGATCAAAATCCATACAGCAATTGTGTGTGTGTGTTCAAATCAGTTTAATTAAGAGGTAAAAATTTCTTGCATTAAAAATTGCTAAAAGACACAACCATACTAGTAAGGTGTTTAATAAAATTGGGTTTTATCAACTTAGCTGTTGGGATTAGGTAGATCAGCTGCAGTAGGGAGGTACATGTTGAGAAGCTGATTTTTCATTTATGAAACCTTCACCAGGGTGCAAAGAAAAAACAGTTTTACAGCTTGCCATTCAGGCAAGTTGTACAGTGTAGCTAGCATGTACTAGCCCAAGAGTCATTTTAACTAGCACACCCCCCCACCAAAAAAAAAAAAAAATAATAATAATATTGATTATGATCAAAACTGATTACAGTTTTCCTGTAATTTAAATTTCCAAAAAATCTACTTGCTTCTTGGACAAGTTAAGGACTGAATACACTAGCCCAATAGCAAAATCCACTAGCCCTGGGCTATCAGACATGACTTTGTTTGCATGCTGCTTCATCAGAGTGAATCATTGAGTGGATAGAGGGTTTTTTGTGGTAATGTAATCGAGGTTGGGGCTATGTTTTTGGTAGGAGCGTGATAACATGATTATTAGTTGAATGAAAACCATTCGTCGATTCTGTCGTGATTAAGGGCAGATGAAGCTGGCAGGAAGGAGGCATTACACAGTGCTTTTTATCCTTGTTCCTTTGTACATAAGAAGTTGGCACCAGCTGAAGATACCTTCTCCTTCTCACATCGTTGTTATTCAAAGAGCACTTTTCTTTCTTTCAGAATGATTTTAAGGTTCAAGAGCTGCCACTTGCAAGAATTAAGAAAATAATGAAACAAGATGAGGAAGTAAAGGTAATTTTTAATACAGGGTTTTCCTCATAATGCCCTGTTTATAAAAATGTGTAATAAATCTAACTACAGATTTTTAAAACCTGCCTTTTTTAAGACAGTGGTCCAGCTTTGTCTTAATATGGAAGTAAAAAAGTGTTGTGATAGCTCAGTGTTCAGTAACAGTTTATTTTAAGCTTCAGCCTGCCCAAGTTTCTTTCAAAGGGTTAAAATGAGGCTCTATAGATATTTTTCTCTTTAGAATTACCAAAAACTTACAATGTTACAAGTTAAAATTTTATTTCAGTTTAAAAATTTTCAACCTAGGTTGATTGTCAGTTTCCTTTGTCTCCTAGCCTTAATTCATGAATAAATAGAGAATCAACCTAGGTTAGAAATAGAGAATCAACCTAGGTTAAAAAATTTTACCCTGAATTATAATTTTGAACAATAACATAATTATACACTGTATCTGTGAATCTACAGTAGGGGAGTGAATAAATTACTTGTATATTGTTAACAAGACAGTGTTATGTTTTTGTCTGCAGATGATCAGTGCAGAGGTAAGATCACTGCTGAAATTTGTTTGCACATACATGCACAGTACCCTTTAAGTAGGGGTCCTTTCAATGTTGAGCCGATCAAAACACCTCAGCTTGCAGGGCAGTCTTCAAATTAACTTTGATCAAATTATTTTTTTGTTTCCATTAAGGTGAGTCTGTATGGTAGCTAGATAGCCTTTATTTTAAAACGATGAGTATTGAAGCTACACGAGCTTGTGGGGTCGTTTGCAATTAACAAATCATTAAGTAGACTAAAAAACTAACGACTAGGGGTATATACAGAAAAAAACGTTTGAACCTAAATCAGCGGTGCTTACAAATATGAAATTGTGAACATAAATTTAAGTGTATACAAAGTCATCTTTTCTAAAATTACAAGTGGATGCAGACGTTATCTTAAAGGTGAATTCATTAAAATTAACTTGAGATTTAAGCTTTAGCCTGAGATCACGATATGGAATGTTTTTTGTCAGGGCATTACAGTTGTTGGTCACTGCATTCCACAGGACTGAGCCTCTAAACGCGACAGAGTCTTTCATGTAACGAGTGTTGAAGCGTGGAACAATTAAAGAAGCGCAAGTCCGAGTTGAATAGTGGCAACTTTTGAAAAAAAAATCATGCAAAACTCAGTAAAGTTTTATTAATTAGCATGTGTTATAGTATTCATTATCATCATTATCATAATCATGTCTCTGAGCCAGAAGGAAAACAAGTCTGTTGCCATGACAGTCATGTTTTTAAGGAACTTAACTGTATTTTTGTATAACAATTTCCTGTAAAATGCTGGATTCTATTCTAACATGCTGAAGATTTGTCATTGACATTAAAAAAATTAGTTTTTGGTGCAAAGCAAAAAATACCTGAGTTGCATTGAAAGTAAATACATTCAGAGTTTATGAATTTTTTACCTGTCATATATGCCATAAATTTAAATGGATATGTAAACTCAGACCATTTTGCTGTTCTGTTTAGGCTCCAGTTTTGTTTGCCAAGGCTGCCCAAATCTTCATTAATGAGTTGTCGCTTAGAGCCTGGATTCACACAGAAGATAACAAGAGAAGAACTCTACAGGTAAAACAAAATAATGCAAGTATTTGCACTTTATGACATGCAAATGAAATGCCTTAGTCTAGTGTGCCCTAATATTAAGTTGTATGCAAACTAAGATTTCCTTGTCATCCAAACGAAAAAGTTAGTTGCCTGGGTCCAATGGGTTTTGCTAGAACACAGCGGCATTCAAGCAATCATCATTAACTTAGTTATCATACCCTTTTATTTCATTTTTTCATCTACATCATTGTTATAATTAATTAGGTAAATAATGTTTTTGTTGTTTATTTTTGCAGAGGAATGATATTGCCATGGCAATCACCAAGTTTGATCAGTTTGATTTTCTAATTGACATTGTTCCAAGAGATGAACTGAAGCCTCCTAAACGACAGGTAAGTGTCCTGTGTGTGACTGACATCTATCTGCTTAAAATGTCTCTGCAGTAAGGTTCAGTGGAACCTCTTCCTACTACCAACAAACTTGGAATTGACCAGGCATTTGTTTTTTCTTCTCTATGTAACAGTGACTGTCGTATTGAAGGATTTCTACGGTATTTATTGTAGATGACACTTAATGGCTGGTCCCAAGGGAAATAATGAGATTGCAGGAAAGCAAAGTTAACCAATTTCCCACTAAACTAGCCATCAAGTGGTTTATTATGTAGTTAATGAAGAAAAACTTCTTTGTGTACAAATTCTTGAAAGTACAGTTAAATCTCAATGGAGTCAGTGGTCAATAGTTACTGGTGACAGAGCTCCGTTACCCTCTGACATCAAAGATTCGTGTTAAGAAATTATATTATAGTGCTATTGTTCTTGTGTTTAAGGCATAGCAAGCTCAAAACACAGTTGAGACCCAAACTTGTTTAGAAATAAGGCCCCATTTATTTGGCGAAAAGTTGTCCCGCGTAAAAGGGTCACCTGCCTACGTGAGCTACCCTGGATGAGCCAACTTTTCGTACAGTTCCCTATAAAATGTGGCGAACCATTAATTACATGACCGTGAAAAAAAAAGGTTGGTGCAGCTAGAAGGGTGACCCTCCTTAGTAGCCAGGTCACCCTTTTGTGATAGCAGGGTTATCCTCCTAGCCAGGCCAAGTTTTCTCCATATAAACACTTTTGCTCACCCAGCCGGGTCAACTTAGTCAAGGTGAGACAACCAGAGCATGCATGAGTGCTGTTTTAGGCAATCAGAACATGCATGAGTACTATTGGCTTGGGCAAAGGGGTCAACCTTTTAGTCATGTAGAGGCTTACTAAGGTTGGCTCAGCTGAGATTGTGACCCTTCTAGTTAGGACAAGTGTATAAACACGGCCTTAGTTATGCCTGTTAGAGTGGACGCACCCAATGAGTGCTATTCAATGTTGTTATATTAGGATCCCATACGGCAGACTGTTGTGGCACCAGATCAAGTGCAGTACTACTTCCAGCTAGCCCAACATCATGCTGTCACAATGCAACAACATCAAGCCCAACAACAACAGCAACAGCAACAACAGGCCCAACAAGCACCACCTCAACAGCAGCAACAGCAGCTGACAACACAAGTTCAACAAGCTCAAGTAGCAGCCAGCACCCAGCCACAGACCATTATCACTAGTGTACCTCAACAACAGATCGTTACTATGGCAGTAAGTTTGTATTCATTACGAACTCTTATTAAATTATGGAGAAAAAAGAATTATGGAGGGCAAAGCAGGAGAAACACTAGCAATATTTTAGCCCCAAACTACATTGTTGTATTTCTCTAATGTTATTAAGTTTTTTTTCAAACCATTTTGAAGCCCCCAGAGATCAGGCAAAAAAATTGCACAAATCCAGTTGTACACTGTATGTTCCTTTTATTAAAGTGTTTGGGTAAAGGGCTGGGACTGGAAATTTGCCTGATTAAAACGTGTACCGGTGAATGTTATGGTTATTATGTGTTTGAGTCTTACAATGTAGGTACTCTGATAGGAAAACAAATCACTAGCAATACCAGAAACTGATTTTCTCTGGCTACTTTCTTTCTTTTTCTTGCTTTTAGTTTTTAACAAAATTGTGAGAGAGAGTGAATTGGACGTAAAAGGGGGAGGTTTTGTGATCAAAAGAAATACAGTTGACTCCCAATAACTCAAACCCTCGCTAACTCGAAACATACACTAACTCGAACCCAAATCGATTTCCCCTTGATTTCGTAGATACATTTACTGTAATTTTATCCTCAGTAACTCGAACCCCTCAATAACTTGAACCTCCCGCTAACTCAAAGTAGTTTTTGTTTCAACTCAGATCATTTCTCAGTCTAAAATTTTGCCCTCGATAACTCAAACCATGTTTTGAGCCCTTAAAAAGTCGGGAAAAAAACAGTCTACTGGAGTCCGAAACATTGAATATTGAATTTCCTATTGAAGTGTTGTGGGCATATAGTTTGCTAGTGGAGGCTAATGTTGTTTGTCACAAATCTAAGGTGAAACAGCTTTACTTCTCAATACAGTAAAACGCATGCTCTATTTAGGCTTTGTTTTGTAACGTTACATTCTGATTTATAATCTAGAAGTATCTTTTAATTTTCACTTAACATTTCTACACATTTTTTTAAATGTGATTAACATGTTCACTGTGTAGTAAAAACTGATTTTTTCCTTGCTATTCCCTTTAAGCTTGCGATAACTTGTACTCCCGTTAACTCGAAATTTTTTCGATTTCCCTTGAAGGTTCGAGTTATTGGAGTCAACTGTATTAAATTTCCTTTCCCATCTTTGCCCTTATAAGGTACAATGTGTGGGCTTATAACATCGAATTACTGTTAATGTTTTGTTTCGTTTTGCTTTAGCCTGGCCAGGCCCAAATAATACAGAATCAGCCACAAGAGCAAAGTGAAGTCCAGTATCCAGTAAGTAACTAATTTTTTGGGTTTGGAAAAAATGGTACCAAATGAAACAATAAATTACAAAGTGTAGTAAATGAGTTACCGTTTATCCTCTTTTAAGCTCCCAGGGGGCTTATTTATTTTAAGCATGTTTGAGAGGGTGGGGGGCTTAATTAATGTACCAAAATGGCCAAAATTGGGCACCATACTGCTTTTTCAAACGACCACGTATCAATTCTTTATAAAGAACTAGAACGTGAAAATGCTCAAGCACGTGATATTAGAGGTCTTGCAACCAAAGATCAAAGCTAAACCAAACTCCCAGCATTTGAATAAACCATACCAGATCAGTCCATCTTTTATTAATTTGGTTGTGAAGAATAAGGAGGGAACAGAGAGGAGAGTTGGGGGGCTAATAACTCTCTTTCACTGAAAAGGGGGGGCAGAGATGGGGGACTTGATAGATGATTTATGGTAGATCAAAGCTTATTCTAACTCCTCGTGAGCTATCATATTTTGCACTCTGACACACCCCCAAAAATTAATACTTGGCCTACATGTAACTACAGTATATTCACTGTGTTCTCTGTGACTTCAAAAATGCATTTTCTGATGATATTATCATGTAATGCAAGGAACTTGAAGCTCAACTGCAACAAATGTTTGATTTTCTTAGCAGATTCATTTTAACCCTGCTCAAATGCAATACATCCGCATGCAGCAGATTCAACAACTTCAACAGCAACAGCAACAGCAGACACAAGCACAACAACAGGGACAGCAACAAGCAGCACAACAACCACAGGCTGCCCAACAACCAACACAGGCAACTGCTGACCAGGCACAACAGCAGGCTCAGCAGCAGGCCCAACAAACCAACACACAACCTACGGAATTCACATTTACTTCTGGAGGACAGGTAACAAGATTACATTGTGTAATTTAACAGAGTCCACCTTTTGTGGGAAGGGGCATGGGTTTAAATTGAAAACTCTTTAAGCCACTCTTTTTTCAGTGGGCACAAGCATGCACTGTGAGAAAAGCTGATGGGGAAGTCTTTGTCAAACCAGATAAAAAGGGGCCTAGATATTCATGTTCCAAAGTACAGGGAGGATAGGTGAGAGAAACCAAAGAATGTCTTTTTTGCAGTCTGGGGGGTGCTGGGTCGGGGCATATACAGTCATGTACAGAAACCATCATTCCTTTTGTGAAATGGTTGATCCTCTCCAGTTCATCTCTAGGAATAATGCACAATGTTTTAAAAATTAAACAAGAGCAACTGCTACAAAAGGAAGGAAGTCCATTTCTGAGTTGCTTTAAGCCTCTACCTCAAAGCAAGGCTAAGTGCGAAGCTATTGATATGGAAATGAAATTTTATACTCATGCAAATAAAACTCATTTTCACAAGAAAGGTTTTGCACTTTGCTTCGTTTTCAAAGTGAGGGTATTATTTTGGAACTTGGAAATGCCTATTTTAGGTTCGAACAGCTGTAAAATCAAATTAAATTATATTTTTTTTTCTTTTTTACCATCCAAAGATTTATCAAATTCAGCAACATCCTCACACAGGAGTGACAGCAGTGGCAGTTGCTGCTCCTCAAGGAACCTTTATACAACAGCAAGGCAGCGCCCAGGAACAAGCAACACTTGCTGCTAATGAACCACCACAACAACAATAGACAGGTACACTGTTAACCTTTAAGCCCCAATATCCACATACAAATTCTCCAAACTGATCTCCATACATTTCCTTCATGGATGAGTTGAGAGAATTTGATAATTGATAAAGGCATTTCCCTTAGGTGATAATTTTATTAATTCTCATAACCTAATCTCTTGACTTTGTATGGATATGGTCAGGAGAAAATTGATGTTGGTCACTATTGGGACTTAAAGGGTTAATCACATCAATAGCCTCTGTAAGTCTCCCATTCACCCGCTGTATACGGCCTGTCATGTACATCTCGTATTTAGAAGACGCATTACACAAAAAAATGTAGGTTCTGTCCTGTCGGTTGCCTCGTGTCTAATGTTAGATTATGTTATTTGGGCTGTCACCATTTACTCTCAGTGTGTTATTTTGTAAGGATTTTCATAGTGGGTCGCAATTGATCCCACTTAGGAGACCAGCATTGTAATAGGGCTCTATTATGCGCTGCTCTTTGGTAATAAACCGCACTATAAAGAGTGTTCCAGTAAAAAATGGGAACACTGCATACTGAGTCTCGGTGATGCTTTCATTCCGGGCTTGGGCGTCAAGTTCTAACCCTAAAACTGCTTTGTATTTAGATGAGTTCTTTTGTCTAATTCGCAAAAAGTTAATTTTGTTTTTACATATTACCACGAATGCCTTTAGTCTCAAGTTTAATGTAAAACAACTATACTTCTAATCAATGAATTCGCGGCAAGTAAATCCTGTTTGTCTATAACTAGCCCGTTTTATTGCGGTCAAAAATCGAACGCAAACGAAATTTGTTTGAGTAAATTCAGTTACCAACGTTTTTTTAAGAAATCAAACGTTTCGAACCAATGAAACTTAATTCGAAACGAAATCCACGGCATATAGTGAATTTCGCTGCTTTGTCCAAAAAGTGGCCACTAGACTAAAGGTTTTTTCTCTTTATTTCAGTGTCTAGATTGTGGGCCCGAATGGAAGATATTTAAAAGTATACTTTATCATACAAATTTGCTCCTATATACAACAACGCAACGATACCTACTCGCCAAGCTTGGCCGCTGCAGAAACCAAACGCATGGAGTAATTTATTTTTGCTGCGAGTTCTGCCGCCGAACATTGTTTTATACGCATTTAGCATTTTACCCCATTAAACTGGGTAATCTAATTACTCAGGATGAATGGGGGTGGATGTAAACTATAACGTGGATGAGGCAATCCGGGCTGTCGATTTTTTGAGAGTACTCGAAAAAAATCTTTAAATCTCATTCTCTTCCTCGAATCTAAAGGTCTCTTAGCAAGGTACCTGTCACAACTTTTGATTTCATGCACCCAGTAGAAAGCTACTAGAAACCACCTCGCACAGTATACCAAGTGAATAACTGCTCTAGTGATTGCACTTCTGTTCCTCTTTTCTACAAATCAAAAGGTTATGTATCTCTTGCAGAGTAGTGTTTAAATGAAAAGGATTATAGTAATAAAGATTTAAACTTGCTAACTTAAAACAACGGTAGTGGATTGACTTTCTGAATTAGCCATCGCGTGGTGGTGGGGACGATAAAACGGGGAGAACTATGAACGAAGAAGAGTAAGCCCACCTGGGTTATAACTATAATTTGCTAGGATAAAAGGCGAGACTACACAAAACCGAAGGAAAAGTAGTTAACAGCTAATTAACAATTATTCCTCGAGCACGAATGGGCTCTGAGTCAATAGCCCATGAGGCCGAAGGCCGAATGGGCTATTGACTCAGAGGCCATGAGGGCGAGAGGAATAATTGTTTTAGTAAAATCCAACTAGTTGGTCAAAAATATTGAGAGAATCAACTGTAGCTAGCAAAACGCGATTCAGCCGCTATTGTTTTGGTTTTCAAAGCCGGCGCTCTTCGCTACTAGTGGGCTATGACATATAGCCTAGTAGTAGCTGAACCAATCAGAACGTAGTATTAATAATAGACCACTAGTTGGAAAGGGTTAGACACAGCTAGCTACTTTTCAAGGAATTTAGACACGAGTTTTAATAGACTGAATACTGATTCCATACACACGTTCGCCTTGGTGACATTTGTTCATTCAACCTCTAACTTCTGATGTGAGAATTTCAGTGACGATCTACACGTCGTACAGACATACATTGTTATCAAGATTGATATTAACAGATTCGCATGAAATATTCTTCAACCTTCGGAGGCGAGGTGGAAGAGCCTGAGAAAAAAGCCGACATTTTGAGTAGTGGTGTAACGATTTCTGTTGATGAAGATGAAATTCTATAGTGTGACCATTTAAATGAAACCTTCTATGCAGTACTTTCACATGTTTTTTTTATTATTATAATAATTGTAACCGAACACAAAAATTACCAGAGGTCGAAACCTTCTGTCGACTTCTGGGGAGTTAAGCTCCACAGCTAAATACATCACATCCTGATTATAGAAGGGATTAAAATAAACGCCCAAGTCACGCCTAACTTGCGAATAATAGGTGTTGAAAAGAGAAACGATAAAACACGATAGCAAAAACTACGCACAGGAAAAACAAACCTAAGAAAACACCAATCCTACGCATATCTAAAAGATAAGTGAGTAAAACTACAAAAATACGTGATTAACCTAGTAACTGAACAGGGAATTTGACTGAACAATAGAGATGGTGACCATTCTAGAAAGTAAGCAGAAGCCGATCTACTCTCGTCTACAGAATTGCAAAATAAGCCAAAAGAATTAAAAAAACTACAACTGTGTAACTAAAAACATAATAAAACGATATATAAGTCTCTTAAGGAACTATAAAAGTGACTCTGTCACATTATTATTATTTTAGTATGTAGTTCAATTCTCATTTTTTTAGTCTGTGGTTGAAATCGTATAGGCTGGCCATTCGTATGAAACCATGGTACTTTTTGTTTGCCAGCATTTTTTCAAAGTGAAATTGGGAATGTTTGTCGGATTTTTTTTTTCTGTGGGAATAAAAAATGTTAAACAGGAAAAATTCAATCAGAGGACAAAGATAGTAACTCGTAACCGAGAAAATTTACTGTCCGCCAAAGTTACTACAATGAATTTTGTTTCTCTCTTTTCTTTACTCCCTTTGGCGAGAATTAAAATCAGTTACAAATAATTTTCTGCCTATGAAGTTGCCAGGCTACAGCAAACGTGATGTTTGTTGAATCAATCTACTTTTCACACTATTTCTCAATATTCGTTTTCCCCGTTACTTGCCGTTCTAGGTTAAAATAACTCCATTGTTAATGTGTTTTATTAAGCTTTGAAAGAGCGGAAATGGAAACTTCTTTATACTTAGGATTCAAAGGAAAGTGCATGGCCAAATACAAACTTACGTTCATTTCCCCTGGACTAACTCCCGAAATTGACTAAAGTAGGTTTACCCTGCTGTAACTGACTTTAATAAAACGTGTTGGGTATTAGTTTTTTACAAGAAAACGTCTGTCTAAATATTAATGGTTGGACATTTTAGTTCAAACAAAGGCTTGATTATTCTCGTCTTATTCTTCCAAAATACGCTGAAATATAATGTTCAATGTATCCTTCAGTGAAAATGTTACACTAGAGCGATCAGTGAAATTTGATACAACTTTCGTTTACGCTTTTCCTCTTTCATACGTAGGTTTGTGTTCCGTTGGGGAATAAGATGTAATATGTAATAATTTTCTTAAGTTAGATTGGTCCAATCATATCAAGGTTACCGCAAGTGCGAGGAAACACAACCACCTTCGCTTTACAACTCAGTGTTATTAGCATGGGAAAATAACATCTGAGATATTCCATCGATGCAATAAAAGTAGAAGGAAGCCAAGAGTGGTTTTACGTCGAAAGAAAAGTGAAGTAGCAACTTCAGTGATATTCGTGAGGAGTCGATCGTTGCTTCATTGCGATCGGCTAAATAAAATGGCTGCAGTAAAAGGTGTCATTACACTTTGTCTGGTTTTTGGGTTTGCTCTCGACGGCTTTGCGATTCCTGTTAAATCGTGGCGCAAAGGTGAGTTTAAAAAAAGTTGCTGAATTTTTTCCATGGAATTAAGGTTAGGATGTAGTGGTGCTTTTTCTTTGGTCACGTTTCCAGAAACGCAACGCTATAATAACCCTCGACTTGTGCAGCCCTCTTGCTCTGGCTTTTTAAAATTCTTTCGAGGTTCAGCTGATTTACCGCCGAAAATATCGCTATTTCTTCAATATACAACAATTTGCATGATTTGCTCAGAGAGTTGGAAAATGAAAACGTCTATCGGCAGAAACAATACTAAAATGTTTGTAAAAATTTTCCTGCTGCTCTAAACTACAATATCTGGGACGCCTTTAAAAACTAAGCACACGCCGTTTTTTGAAACATTTCCAAAGTAATATTTTTGAAAAGTTTCGATTTCAGCCTTTTTACAGCCAATACTTCCCGAAATTCTGTAATGCTGCTATTGTTTGTTTGCCTTCTTTATGTCAAGCATTTTAATCAACTGTTCTTCAAAAGTCAAATGGTAAAACAACTTTTTTTTTTCTTAGAAAGAGACGACTCTTCAGATGAGGACGAAGAAATATCGAATCATATCGCCAAAGCTAACAAGGGTTTGTATGACCGTACCGGATTAGGACCTGACAATGTTTACACTGACCATTTTTAGAACCAGCTTATTATATCTGTGTTTACAGTGGTGAGGGCAAGGAAAGGGATAACAGTTGATCATATTTATCGCTGAAAATTTATTTTTTTATTTTTATTTTTTTTCTGTGAGGTCTAAATGTTTTTCTCTCTTGTTATAAAAATGAACTTGTAACTTTACGAAGTGTGATGGCAGAGTTTAGTTACACTGATATATGCGCTCTGGGTAATTTGTTTGGGTAATCTGAGTTGCGATTTGTTCGGGAAGGCGCAGTAATGCATTCATATTCTCCATACACTTTGAGTATCACCATTTGTCGTGGACGCTTTGCAAAGAGGAGCGACTGAACGTACGGTAAAAGTCCCCACAATAAACATCGTGCCGCTTTAAATGAAATGTTTCATTCATTTCATCTGGCACGTATTGTTTACTGAATACGTTATGTATACTTATTTCATCAGCTGTCGCCGAATCCTTATTTGAGGGCGATATCCTTCTGTCTCCATTTGATCTGAAGTTTGTGGATACCAGTGAGGAGGGAGATGTTGACGGAGACCTGGAACCGAGTCGACACAAGAGGAATGCTGATCGTAACAGACGGATTCTCTGGCATGATAAGATAGTGCCTTACAAGTTTGATCCAGGACTTCCAGGTGAGAACCGCTTATCCCAAGGTATTAAACATCGAAGGAATAGTGCATGATCAAATTACCTCCTGTGTGAGTGTTTTTCGGTGGTGGTGGTGGTGGTGGTAAGGCCCGTTATCTCTGGGTTCCTCTTTCATTGAGGTCTGCGTCCCTTTTGCATGCCAGCCCCGTACCCCCGGGAGCCCCGAGAAAGCTTGCTCGCAGGATAGCGTCCCCTACTCTCTTCAAACACGGAGCTGAGTGATTTATCGATTGATCATGACATTCGGGATTTAAGGGGTTTTGCATCCAAGGTTGTGAGAGAAGGAGCCGCTAGAAAGTATATCCAAATTAGCCGGAGGGGCCTAAAAAGATTGAAAAAAATTGCATCACCTCAATTCACACGGCACTGCAAGTGGCACACACGGCAGTCCAGCTTCTGCCCAAACGGAATGGGAGTGGGAGGGATTTGATTTTCCATCTGGGTATTTGCCTTTATACCTTATCAAAGTACGCCGGACGACGTAATTTAACAATTTCATTTAGAGCATATCTGCATAACCTTGAAATGACTTAAATCTTTTTGTGTTTGTTTGTTTTGGTGCAGCTGATTATATATCCAGCGTCAAGGAAGCTATTGCAGAGTTTCACAAACATACCTGTCTAAAGTTTGTTGAGAGAACGAATCAGCCAAACTGGCTTCTGTTTGTTTTTAAATCTGGGTAAGTTTTCTACTATAAAATCTTGGGTGTGATCCATGTTCTGTTGGACGACAGCTGGAAAACTTCGGGCGGAAAGCTTTGCTTACGACTGATATACGAGTGTTTTCTCTTTTACTTTGAGTGAAATGCCTTCTTGAGGGGTTAATGTTTATAAAAACTCCAGGCAACCAATAAGATGGTTTCTTTTACTCCTGTCTGAATACACATTTGCATATAGATTGAACATAGCCTGGCACCTCTGATGTACATATTTTCACAATCGCTGAGTATCATTCTTGTTTAATTTGTTTTATTCAGGTGCTGGTCTAGGGTTGGGAAAAAGTATTGGAGGTATGACTACGGGCAAGAGGTTTCGCTGGGCAGCGGTTGCAATCACAGAGGAACCGTCATGCATGAAATAATGCACGCAATTGGCTTCTGGCACGAGCAATCACGACCAGACAGAAACCTTTATGTAGAAGTACTCTGGGAGAACATACTGGACGGTACGCCAATATGATCTCAACAGTAAATAGAGTTAGAGTGAAGCTTTAGTGTTGGACTGAATGTATGTTATTGACATGCACTCAATGGCAGTGACTTTTTATCTCAGTTGGTTAGATTAAAGCATCGCTAATGAGATCTCCACGGTTTCCCGTTGAATTCCGATGAAGGCCTGATTTTTTTATGCAGCGTGCGTAACTGCCATGATCCTTAAAAGAGCAATCAAAATAAAGTGACGAAAAGCGGATTCCGAAAGACAAGAGGAGACGATGTGTATGCCCGTCGGTTTGCAAAAACCACCTGACTTCTTTGAAAATTACCGACGATCGGCCCATGGTTAACCTGAAAAAAATCCGGCATAACACGATGCCACCACTGGTTTACGCGCGAAATGACGTCTGAGAAACGAGCGCCGAAATTCCCTATTGATGACACGTCACTTCCCAGATCTGGATAGTGCTTCTGATTGGTCCTGCCGCGTGGGGGAAATTTGCTTCAACCAATCATAAGCTCTACCCAGATCTAGATAGTGACGCGTCATCAGCATGGAATTTCTGCGCTCTTTTCTCAGACGTCATTTCGTGGGGAAAACCAAGAGTGACGTCGCGAAATGTCAGCTGTTTTCAAGCTAGCCCATGGTATCTTAGAACCATAAATTGGGGCTGAGTGAAGACAGCGCCCCTAGAATTGCTAATGTTGATGATGTAATACGATATACAGCTATTTTGATAGCTAAAACGTCGTCCGATTTTAAGGCCTTCAGCCTACAATACTCGTCACATTAGCTGGGACAGCAGTGGTATTGTCTGCCCCCTCAATGTTGGTTTTTGCGAGATGGCATGTCAGAAGCAAAAAAGGCGGGCAACTTTTTGTCGGAATATATGGGTACGGAAAGGGGTGTCCCAACTTAATGTGACGAGGATTGTAGGTAACAAGGGCATGAGGGTGGCTGTAAATCCTGTGTAATTTGGTCATAATTTCACGGTTGTCAGATGAGTACCATGGAATGGTATAAACGATTTAATGACAGATGAGTTACTTCATGGCCTTGTTTGGTAATATTATTTTCTTAAATTACCCACATATTGCTACACATGCATTCTCGTCGCGTAGGCTTTCCAACTACGTTAAGATAGAAGTGAAAGATCTGTCTTCATAGTATTTCTCTACTCCAGGCCAGTCACACAACTTCAACAAATACGACCGAGGCAGGATAGACACCCTCCACGTGCCTTACGACTACGACAGTATTATGCATTATGGTATGGACAGCTTCTCTAGGAATGGCAAAGCTACTATAAGATCTATTAAAGACTCCGCAAGATCACTTGGCCAGAGAAATGGATTTACCCAACTGGATATCCAGGAAATCAACTCACTCTACGAATGCAGCAGTAAGTGGAGTGGTCTGTAATAAAAGGAAGTATTGGTTACTAAAATGGCTTCTACTAACAAACCGAAAACAGTTAGATCAGTGGTCTGTGAAAGGGTGGCAGATCGTATACCAAAACAAAACAAAACAAACTGTAACAGTAAAGTAGAACTATGTAGAAGAAACAGAAATGACGCTCTCAAAAACCTATTTCCTCTAAAGTTTTTTTGGAAACCCTTTTCATCTCCTGTACCAGCGCGAGGGTTGAGGCGCGCTCATTCAAAGGGAGGAGCTAAATGGGAGGAAGCTAAAGCAAAGACGTTTTGAGCGACGCACATCACCCGGAAGATGAATTTTTGCATTCTCGGACCTTGGTTTTGCCCACATTTTCGGTCAAATCCACCATTTAAGGTTAAACACTAAGCAATACAAATTTGTTAGCGTTAAGACATATTAAAAGAGAAAAGGGCTTCAAAACGCCACTGATTAAGTTTTCTTTATAATATTTCAAGCCTCATGTTATAGCGCTTGTTTGAGGGAGGGCGCTAATTCGAGCATTTGCGGTCTTGTAATAATCAGTATTATAGCTGCTTGCCGGTAAGATAGCTTTCTGGGCTCAAAATAATATCGAGGCATTCGAGAGGTGGGTTCCTGTAAACTTCGTAAGCCACTATATGTTAAATTTCCTCAATGCATCTTGCATCAGAGGCCCTTTTTAGTTCTTCTTTGGTTTGATTGTTTGATGGTTTTTGATGTAACAGGTGCGAATGGTCCCGGATGGAGCAGGTGGTCAGACTTTGGACCCTGTGGTGCCAATTGTAAAAAGTACCGTCAACGTTACTGCACGTCCACAAACAAAGATGTCCACTGTCCTGGGCACAGTAACGGGATACAGACAGAAGAACGGGTTTGTCCCCACCAAGAATGTTACGGTTAGTAGGAGGAAGAGGCGTGCGGGTTTGAATGGTGGAAAGTGCAAAAGATACCCATGGTTCGTACAATCTTGAAAAGTTCTTGAATTTTAGTAGTTGTCTTGAAAAGTCCTTGAATTCGGTTAAGATCCTTGAAAAGTACTTTTGATTTCTTTATTAGGTCTTGAAAAATCCATGAAATTCACTACCTAAAAACATTTTAAGTGCATCAGCAATATCTTACTTCTGTTTCTTTATTTTAAATGCTGTTTCTGTACCTCAGATGCATACTCAGTCGTTTTGCAAAGCCTTGTTGCTGAAAGTNAATTGTAAAAAGTACCGTCAACGTTACTGCACGTCCACAAACAAAGATGTCCACTGTCCTGGGCACAGTAACGGGATACAGACAGAAGAACGGGTTTGTCCCCACCAAGAATGTTACGGTTAGTAGGAGGAAGAGGCGTGCGGGTTTGAATGGTGGAAAGTGCAAAAGATACCCATGGTTCGTACAATCTTGAAAAGTTCTTGAATTTTAGTAGTTGTCTTGAAAAGTCCTTGAATTCGGTTAAGATCCTTGAAAAGTACTTTTGATTTCTTTATTAGGTCTTGAAAAATCCATGAAATTCACTACCTAAAAACATTTTAAGTGCATCAGCAATATCTTACTTCTGTTTCTTTATTTTAAATGCTGTTTCTGTACCTCAGATGCATACTCAGTCGTTTTGCAAAGCCTTGTTGCTGAAAGTAGTACAAGATAATGTGATCAATGACCATGGCTGAAGAAGAAAATGACTCCATGACGTGTTTTAGTCAATAAAGTGTTCAAAAGGGGGTTAAAGAATGCCGATTTATTGAATAAATCTTAGTCCTTGAAAACTGTAATTTGTCCTTGAAAAATCCTTGAAAAGTTCTTGAAATTTGTTGACTGAAGTTGTACGAACCATGGATACCTTTATTGGCGTTAAATGGGTTTCTCGTTGGACCATTCGGAGTTGTAGTAGAGAAATGCATACATGTAGGTTACTCGGTCTGTGCTTTAATTATTAAATCAGAAGTAAGATGCTTTAAGGTTCTTCATATTGGGTTTCTTACGGGTGAAACTCTACTGTTTATTATAACATCAAATACTCAGAAATCTTAAATTTATTTTGGAAACAATATAGACCGAACTTTTCATCGATTTGTGGACGCAATAAATCCATTTCACTTGAGAGCCGGGAGGGCGGCACCCAAGGCTGAGCCTTTTGCAAATAATTCACAAGCTTTTCGCCCAGGCTGCTGATTTAAAAGCTTCTGTTATGTCCTTCCCACTTCCAGTATGTGGGTTTATTTGCTGTTAAAACATGCAATAGAACGTTCGATCTGTGGTACGAGAAAAGGAATTAACCTGACTAAGAGATAATTGTGAAATTAAGAGGTGGGACAAAGTTATCATCGAAAGTTCCCAACTGACCTCGTATAATTAGAGACCAAAATATGGCGGTCTATTTGTTACAAAGTGTGGTCGTCCTGTTTATCTGTAATAGAAATTTTATGAATCCTGTCATTTTTCATATTACATTCCTTCTTCTTGTAGCGCCCGTGGATGGACACTGGGGCCGCTGGTCATCATGGGCCATATGTAGCAAGACATGTGGAAGTGGAACAAAAGTAAGAACGCGCAAATGCGATGATCCACCACCCCTAAATTCCGGAAAATCCTGTTCTGGCGATGATAAAGAACAAGAGGCTTGTATATTGAGAAGGTGTGGCTTGGGTGAGTGAGCAAAACAAAATTAAGTTGTTTAAATTGAGAGCGATTTTGCACTGAATGTGTATTTTTTATTATGCGGTTCAATGCGAATCTACTAAATGGTCCTTACTAACTTCTTAGTCTTCTTACGGGCTAAGGTACATGGCATAAACTTATCAAAATAAAATAAAAATAAAAGTAAAATAAATAAATAAAAATAAAAGAGCCGAGTTATTACTCCTAGTTGCTCTTAAAGTGACCAAAAGATGGCTCTATTTACCTGTAGGCGCTGATGACTGTGACTTTGACTTCGCCGATGGAATGTGTCACTGGTCAAATGACCAATCCAGCAGTTCAGATTTTAAGTGGTTATTAGGGTCTGGATCGACACCCAGCAGCCTCACGGGGCCTTCCGCTGACCACACAAGTGGTGCAGGTAAAAAATTAACCACTAATCTAATTAAAAGGGCCTGCGTTTTATGCGAAAACGACGAAAACGGCTGGCTAGTCCTCTTCACAGTTTAATTAAGAGTTTCCATTGGTTTACCCGCGAAATAACCCACGCGGGATGTTGGGAGAAATTGAGTTTAGATGCCGTAGATGAACCGTAGTTTTTTTCAAAAGGTTGAGTTTGATCGTCCGAGTGAACGTAGTCCTGAATAGGACTGTTGTTGTTGACAGTGACTGACGTTTCGACAACCTGTGCGGTAAGTCACAACTCACTTTGACTCTGGAGATGACTACTACACAGGTTGTCGAAACGTCAGTCACTGTCAACAACAACAGTCCTATTCAGGACTACGTTCACCCGGACGATCAAACTCAACCTTTTGAAATGACTCCTGGGTTCAAACCTTTCACCGTAGTTTTTTTTATTGCATTTATTTTATAATGCATTGTAAAATTGGAGTCTGCTCAAAACGATGAAGCAAAAAGAATAGATTGTTTGAAACCTCATAGGGATAAAGAAAATGATAAACCGAACCTTATACCTAACTCCTGTAATCCTTAATCATGAAAATGTGACATATTAAATAAAGAATATCATTCTCCCCAGGCAAGTATCTTTATGTGGAGGCTTCCAGTCCCGCGCAAGAGGGCGATAAGGCTAGGTTACTCAGCCATCAATTTCCGTCAACTGCTGCTCGGTGCCTGTCCTTTTGGTACCACATGTATGGCTCATCAACTGGAACTCTTAGTGTGTATGCCCTTGCTAAAGATTTCAAAAGGACCCTACTTTGGCAAAAGGCTGGTAACCAAGGAAACCAATGGATGCAAGCAAAAGTTTCTATTACGAGTAGCTTAGATTATAAGGTATGGAAGTTGTGTTCTTACCGATAATACGTTCTGGGGGAGTTGTGAGCGCGTAAAAAAGAGAGAGCGCTGCAAGCGAATCAAAATGAACAAGGACGCTATTAATATCAGCGTTATGTCTCGCTTGCTTGGAGATTAGATGAGAAATGAGGAGGCGGTTATTCTAGACGAAACAGGATTTACTCGCTAAAGGTTTTTCACTTCCTACTTTATCGACTGTCGAGTATTCTTCAGGATGTTTACTTTTTATATCGTATTCGACGATTTGTTTCTGATCTGATTTGGTACGCGTGTTACGTCCGCGGCCGCAGGTTATACGCGTGTATAATTACACGAAAATTCGAGAGAAATACATCGTGATGATAACATGGCACGTCATTTAAATCATCGCCGAAAATAAACCGCATGCTCATCACAAGACTTATTTGCATACAATAAAAGTTTACAACACCCGACCAGTTAGCCTTTGCCAATTAAGATTCTTCTTTTTTTTCGACCACTGAAGTGTTCACTTGTTCCAATTTTATCAGCTCTTTCAAGCGATAGAACTCGTGGACCGACCCGTTCCGGAAAAGCTCTAAATCGCATTTATTAATCTTTCCTAAGCTTTCTTCGCAAAACATGCGTGGCTTCAGTCACGCAACGATTCTTATTCCCAGTTTACACGGTCTCCGCTATGAACGCCCAGGACCCCAACGCCCTTTTGTGTTGTAAATACGAAGAAAAACGGCTTTCAGATCATGAGTCTCGCTGCTTACGTAAGCAAGACTAATTACGACTGGAAGATTGTAATGAGTACAGGTTGGGTTCAATAGTAACCATAAAACATGCTTTGCGACAATGTTTCCTTGAAAATTAGACGGCTTTCTTCAGTCGTACCGCGTACTAACGAATCGTCTTTGTGTAAACTGTGTGTCTTGTGAGGTATTCGAACTCGTGTGCTAACCGTGCGTCGCCGAGGCTTGGTCATGCAGTCGAAACGAAATAGGCAATTAAACAACATTCCTCTTGGCAGATAACAGAATAAGTAGTCATTATCCGAGTTCCAGTGAGTCTTTTTATCAAAGCCTAGTATACAACCAGTTTTATAAGACTCTTTTCATTTTTAGACGAATGGTTGTTCACCTGGCCTCGCTTGATAATAAAGCTTAAGTGAACTAGGATTATGCTGTTAACACTCTGAGGTCTCAGTTTGGTTGCAAAGTTGCGCTGATTTTAGTTTAGTGTATAATAACGCGTTTAAATTACCAGTGGGAGACATCTTCCCGATCTATAAAGACTATGCTGAAAGAAATATTTTGGCTTAGATTGAGATTGAAGCTATAAGAGGCCCGAGTTTCCGAGGAGACATTGGACTTGATGACATCAGTTTTACGGACGGACCGTGCAGTAAGTCTCCATCATAACTTTACTTTACTTTACGTTATCTATCCGTTCGAACGGAGGTGTGGTAGGGCGTTAATGCTTTCGATCAGCCACGAGTCTGAGGGCTATGAAAAAGGGAATATTGTCATAAAAGATGAAGTTGTGACGATGGGGATGTTATGTGCCCCTAGGCTTCCTTTGAAGCCCTTAATCCATGATTCCAGGTCTTACGTGGACGTCCTCTTGTTTTATGTGCTGTGTGCTTGCTTTGCCAGCTGGTTGGTATTCAAACTCGTCAACACCGAACCATTTCATTCTCTTTCGATATGATGTTGAACCGTTGCCAATCCTACCATTTCTCTGACCTTGCACCGTCTGGTCTTGCTGGCGGCCCTTCTTAAGCTATAATTGATTTTATGCTAAATAATTAAAACCTCGTGAAAGTGCTACTGAAAAGGTTTTATCTTAGTGCTCACACCATAGCAAAGAATAGAACTGTATGCTAGATAAAAGTACTGCTGGAGAGGTGTCATTTGAATGGTCACAACATAGGATTTCGTTCACAGACTCAAGGTTACAACTACATTAATTTTATCCATACCTAAAGCAAGGAGTAAGAGAGTTAAGAGATATTTTATAAAACAATTCAAGGGAGTGCATTGTAGCATTTCTGTCGTGTTGTGGTGATATAGTTTCCCACATCTTTTAAGTGATGTATTGCATGTATTTTAACAGTGGAAGAAATAGGCTGCTATAAAGATAACCCCCAAAGCAGAACGTTTCCGCTGGTTGTGAAAAACCTTCGATCTGAAATAGATTGGTATCACCTGGAAAAAACTGTTCAGAAATGTGCCTTGCTATCCAAACAGAGAAACTACAAAGTAAGTCACTTATAATGCTAGTGGGCTCTGTCCAAAATTCAGCTACATCAGAAATTATCATGATTAGTTATTTAATGGATTGAGTAGGTAGGCTGAATAAGATCGCCGAGATAAGTGTTTAATCATGCATGAATATGAGTGTGATTGATAGAAGCACTATCCGTTATGAGTTTCGTGGCAGCGCAAAAGCTATCCAGTATAACGTGAAAATAGCCTTAGTGAGTTGATCGCTTATTGGCGAGCGAAGGATTAGTATCGCTTGTCAGTCCCTGGCCGGAGGTTGACGGGGGAATGCGCGAAAATGAAAATGCACTCCTAAGAAGAAGCACCGGACAAGTCCAGGAGCTCGCTCTTTGTTAATTTCCCTGGTCACTGGTCTCATTTTAACCAAAAGCGTAGATATTTGGACACAACTCATTTTGTCAGTGTGTTCGGCCAAATTGTTCCTTCCGGGTTGAACCATTGTGAAACGAATGAAGAAGAACATTTATAACGCAACTCTTTTGCTCATTATTTTTTATTCTCGTTCGGTTCCGCAGATATTCGCAATACAGTTTTACGGCGAGTGCTGGAGCGGCGAAACATCCAAGGTTCATTATAATCGCTTTGGTGCAGTTGATAAATCTCAATGTCCGTTTGGAGTCGGAGGACCGAATGTTAATGCTGTTTATAGGATCCTTCCATAGAGTTTATCTATTCATAGAGGTGATAGGGGATGAAAAGTGAAGAGAAAATACCTTAGAAATGCTCCCTCATATTATGTGTCTCAAAAGCTTCTTATAAAAGAGCCACTGGCACACGCGAGGAAAATTACAATATATTTCTCAAGCATATTCCCTGAGTCAGGCATTCCAGATAGCACAGCGGGGCGAAATGAAGTTTCTCCTCTAACTGAACTACTCAAAAACTACTTTAGTGTTAAAGGAATTTAAACTGATTATAGGCATGACAAGTGTATTCTTTCTCAGCATTCTTCGTCCTCTTCCTGCTTGTGATAGTCACTCACAGAAGCATGTTCATCTTTTTGTTATGCGCCTTTGGCAACAGAAAGTAATGAATATGCCAAAGATTTGCTTATTAATTAGAAATCAACAATAAAATACCGGTAAACCGGAATGAGTTTTTGATTCTTATCTTTCACTCTGTGGCCGTCACCTCGTTTTTTAGAATTGCATTTGACCACTTTCCCTATTCCCTCCCACCTTGAGGCCTTCCCTTTCAAATGCCTGCCACGCAGGCTACTTTGCCTAATTCTTGTGGTAATGAAGGTTTAAACTGTCGCACAATGAAATAACATACTTGAGGTTGATTTCCACTGACGCGTTTTTGGCTACGTACGTTAACGCACCTAAATTTTAATCACGTAAATAAAATAGAGACAAGCTATAAAGTGTTGTGATTAAACGTAAAGTTGAGCGAGGTTCTACTTTTTACGCTTAAGTACGACCTTTCATGCAGTGCCTCTATTTTATTTGCGAACGTAAATTTTACCCACGTACACACGTAAAAATTACGCGACAGTGGAAATCAACCCTTATGCTAGCAACTTGTATCGTTAAACTGGTGATAATCAAAGACTACTGGAGTGCGCTCGTGAGTTCGTTAAAGATAAGTAAACCGTTTCTCAGCAAAAGGAACTTTCAGTGAACATTGCAGTTTAGCCAGGTTCAAATTACCGCTGTGTTTGTTCTCTTGTGGAGGTCCTCTTCCCCGGTAAAATGAACTACGTGCAAACGGACGCAACAACTCCCAACATTGTTAACTGTCGGGAATTGTGGCGTCCGTGTTGGCAGTGGTGGTGTGCAAACGGATGCAACAACTCCCAACAGTGTTGAGACCTACAGTGCATTGTCGTGGGAAGGATACAACCCATAAGACTCTGGGCGGGAGATCATGTATAATGCGTATGCGTGGTCTCAACAATGTTAAAAGAGCTGTGCAAACGGATCCAACTTACGGCGATCACGGGAAAAAAAAAAGAAATGTTGGGAGTTGTTTGCTTAAAAGTTTAACCGGTTGCAAACTTTGCGCAACAAATCCCAATCGACAACATGCAACAGGGTGTGCAAAAGGTCGCAACGTGTAACATCCAACAATGTTGGGAGTTGTTGGCACTGGACGTCAAAATTTGTAAAAACGGATGAGTAAATCTCGGGCAAAGATGTTGAATGCCACATTTGCCTAGTTATTTACATCCCCTGTTTTATGGTATGCAAATATGACATTTACCATCTTTCAGCCCATATGTAGTACTCCGTTTTTACAAATTTGCTACATATTTGCAAGGAGCAAATTTGTGCAAATCCATTTTTCGTCCAGTGTGGCCATAGCCTGTGAACAGGCCTTTGGTGGGAAGAGGGAAAAGCGAAAAGGCCTGTAGCAAATGGTTGTCTATAGGCTGTCTCCCCCATTTCCCTTCCCTTTCCTTGCTATTTTCTCCCCAAACAGAGAGCCTGTTCTCAGGCTAGTGTGGCCAACAATGTTGCGTCCGTTTGCGCGGGGCTTTATATTGTAAATAAAATAACACTCAACCAGCCTTCGCTTAGAATACCTTCGTACGTGAAGCGCAATACGGTAACAATAAATCCAGTGGCGCTTTCCAAATGGCAAAAAAACGTTTTGAAGATGACAACACAGAAATCGAAAACACCGCCATTTAAGAAAATCTTCTCGACGCACGCTTCACTTTGCTGTGACGTCACGATGGCCAGACACATCGGACAGCCGCGCTGACGAGTTTATGATTCCCTCCTGGTGCACATGCCACGCGTGAAAATTCGTATCCAGATCTAGATTCCTCTTGGCGACCGCCCGCTGACCAAAGAGCCCGAGGTTACTGGGTACGAAATTAAGCCTGAAAGTACTCATGGCGGGGTAAAAGTGTGTTATTTCACAAAAACGAGAAGTTGAATGAATAAAATTAGCGTTACCCTTTTCTTTCCAATACTATGTGGTTGCGTAAGGCCCCAACTCCTGGCTCCAGAGGTCCGTATGCCTCGCCGCGACTATCATCTCTAATCTCTGGCATCCAGAGCATTACTTGAGCAGTTTCAAATACAAAGATAACAGTAAACAGAACATAAATAAGAACAAAGTAAAGCAGCTCTGTCTTCTATTCTGTTCTGAGTAACCTTGCGTGAAATTTCTCGTGTCTTATCAAGGAGCCTCTGAAGTCACGCTTTCGTGAGTATAATTCTTAGAAACCTAGAATTATTTTGCAATCATTCTCAGAAGGTAGACATCGTCAAAACATCTCAAAATAACACTTTGTCATTGGTTGATGTCATAAGCATATTACAATATCACCGTAAGCACACTGATCAGGAAACTTCATATGACGGGTCCTCCTTAAAGTTGTTTTCTGCCGTTTGACATGGATATCAAAACTTTGCTAGATAATCTTCATGAACAGGTTTCTTGTTCTTTGTGTATGTGCAAGTTCACAGACCCAAAACAGTTGCCTTGCTTGCACAGCTTTTGCCTTCACTGCCTGAATGGGATTCAACGAACGAGTGCCGGCCCCAATGTGATTGCGTGCCCTGAATGCAGACAGGAATTCAGGGTCCCTGGGAATGGAAACCTGCAAGATTTGCCGACAAACTTTCGTATTAACCGTCTACTCGATGTTTTGGCCATAAAAGAGTGCAATACAAGCGGTGTGAAGTGTGGAAATTGCGACAAAAAGAGCGAACACAGCTTTTATTGTTTCCAGTGTTGTGCATGCTGGTGTGATGACTGTATCGGTTTTCACAATGGCATCAGAGCCAATAAAATAACTTTGAATTCACGTTACATCGAGGCAAACGCCCTGGGTTGTACTCAACAAAATTTTGTACGCTGGGGAATCTCTACCCTGAGGTCTAACTCCTTACTCTTTTAAATTTCCTTTCAACCTGATTGGCAAATCGATTCCACAATGGCTTTTATAACAGGCTTGTACTCTAAGTGGCAGAAGTGATGGCCAAATGCTCGGGCCCTGGAGGATGTTGAAGTTCGAATCAATCCTCGCATTATGTGTTACGATTAAAGCTCCCCAAGGATTTGAGGACGTCCAACATGATCTCGACTTAACATTAGGGAATGGTTTGTTCCGAAACAAGTTATCAATGCTGTAAATCATTAATGAAGTTGATGATTTAAAAGCAGAAGTTTTTCCAGATAGAAGCCAGCTGTAATGCCAGTAGTATCAGGGTCTGGAAGTGGTGGTGGTGGTGGGGGTCCTGATCCCGCATTCCCGTGTGTCATCACTAGTACTCATAATACCACTTTCTCCAATATAACTACACCCCATCCAAAGAATTCCGCCTATCCCGCTACCGGCAGCGGTCAGGTCTTGTGTCCCGTGAATAAATTTTACATTTCCCCGAATCCTACACCGTATTTCGGTCACATCCCGGACATCGAGAATAACTTCTAGATCCTGTACCTTTTTGGAAAACTCTGCGCGATCAGCCGAATTCGCCATCTGATGGACTTCCTCTCCTTAATGTGTGAATGCGATTGTTTTAAACAAATTATTCTATTGTTCTTCAGTTTTGGCAGGGACAAGTAAGGGAAATATTGCCAGGCTTCAATTAGTTCAAAACTTTGCAGCCAGAATTTTATCTGGTAAAGGAAATTTGAGCATATAACTCCCACACTTAAACAACTTAAGTTCTTGCCAGGTAGTTCTTCTTAATTTGAGGGATGCTGTCTTATTGTATAAATCCATCAATGGCCTAGCTCCGACATACCTACAACAATAAGTTGTCAAGAGATCTGACATTCACAACATAAATACATGTAACAGTGTCAAGCTCCAACATGTATAGATGTACTACCTCTTGGAACTCGTTGCCTACAACATTCGTAACTCGCCTTCCCTTTCCCAGAATCAATACTAAAACATTTTTTTACAGGAAAGGTGGCTCGAGGGTTTACACTCCTACATGTTTCCGTATTGTTTCAGCTAGATATTTTTACAGTTTCTTATCTCTTGTTTAACTATATTTATATATTATTGTAATTTTAATATTTGTAAATTGATTCTGAAAACTGACCCCTTTGTTGGAGAATCAATAAAGCCATTTGCATTTGTATTTGTAGTATTAGGCGCAAAATAGTAAAAAAAGAAGACCATAGAGTAAGTATATTTGAGAACATAGGAACTGGCCATGGTTTTACCAGTTAAAAGATTTTTCGAGAGTCAGAAGTCCGTGAGGAACAGCGGAAATAGTGAGATCTGAAAGGCGTTGAAACTGTGTTTTACGGTTCATATTTTTTAGGCCGTTTGACGGCTGTAGGATAACCCCAGAGACCCAGTCCTCTACTAGTAATTGACACGTGTGTGAATGTCGAAAGCATCTCGTGCAGGTGCTATTAAAATATGATGAAGAAGCCATTCACTAAGATTCTTTCTTTATTTCTTTATGTATATCTAATTTCTTGGAATTTCCTCATTTAAATAACGTTTTCTATGATTTGTGTGAAATAAGTTAGAAATATACCTCATTTTTATGAAGTTTACACAGAAGCGTTTCTATATAAGTTTATGAGAAATCAATTAAGTTGATTATTATCTTGTAAGTGGTAGGTGTCAAAAAGGTATATGGCAAAATTATGTTGGGTAGCGAAATGAGGAGTATATATTCATTCACTTTGGGGACGGACCATTAGAAAAGGTATTGGGGAGGGTGGGGAATTTTTGAGTCGCATGGACGTTTTTCTTTAACATTTTCCTTGCATGAATTCTTTTAGACCAGTGTATGAATATTTTTAGGGTAACTTGGATTGCAGGAATTTTTTTTTAATTTTAATTCTCCCTTGCTCGAATATATCTGTTTTTGTACTTGCCCCCCCCCCCCCCCCCCCCTCTCCCGTTTTTTTTTTTCTATCCTTTTTTCTTTTTCTTATTTCTAATTATAATATGATACTGACAAACCTGATCAGCACACCTTTTTATCTTCTTCT